AAATGGGGAGATTTGAGAGACTGGAAGAACGTACCGCCTGTGGTGTGCATCACTCTCAAGATTCCGCGCCAGAAACTCTCTGTGTTCACTAGTATGGATCGCAATACACTAGGTACACCGACTGTCTCTTGCCTGATCACAGGTCCCTGTTCTTCTATGTGGAATACATGGAAGCATAAGTTCCCTGCATGCCAGTTGGCCTTTGGAGACATATCTACGAAAGGATACCCGCATGACGATTCCTATGAGATCGTCGTGGCGGAGGATACCAAGGGTTGGAAAGGAACCTCTGACCTCATCGCGACATTCTATGTGCCTTCATGGTTCCTACTCGATGAGCCTCGGAAGGCTACAGTAGGTTTTGGTATCCAATGCACATTTGCGTCTGTCGTCACATTCGAACCGAAGCTTGGGCTAACCCTAGATGTCTACGGTACTACACTCGATAACGCTGCCAACGTTTACATCACCCGGTTCTGCCCCAATCAAGGCGGCTTTCCTGTTACTCCAGGATTTTCCCAGTCAGACATGGTCAATCCCAGCACTGTCAATCCGGGTACCGATACTTCCTTGATCGCTGGTGTCGATCAGGCGACCGGACGCATTACTAGTCTGGCATGTCGATTAGACATCACTTCCGACGATTACAACTCGATTCTTAAGAATGGATGTCAAGTCGTTACGTCTCTGCTATCACCTTACCAAGTTTCAATTACGCTTGGGGGAAAAACTTCCTTCGCTATGAGCTTCCCGACCTGGGTGGTAGAGAATTCGCAGAAGACGAGAATCGCTCGCAAGTCCTCCTATGTCGAGGTCGTCATGGATGTGGCCACAGGTTCCGCATGGATGAATTATCCATATTGCATGTATCCCGTACATCTCCAGAACGGAAAGCCAGTAAACTGGAATATGCCATACCTCAACTTGTCTCAATGTCCTATCATAGACACAAAGCAAAGTAATAAGTTGAACTGGTTGGCTATTCACGCCTCTCTGGCGGCGTCAGCTCGCGAACACTCGCTGGGCGCCAATAATCGACTGCCTCGATCCCCCGGAGAGCAGATTCGTCTGGACTTCAAGAAAAGGCTATTCAGCATGATGACCATGTTCGCTGGCCTTCGAGGCTCAAAGCCCGGTATTTTCGCTCTCGGGGATGCCGCAAGCGGCATCGTTAATACCCTAATACTCGTATCGAGTCTACGTATCGACCTCGGGAACCGTACCGTGGCGCTCGATTGCGCCGTTCTCCCCTTATACAAAGTAATGGCGCCACAGCTCCAGCATTGTCTCAAGAAGCCCTTTTCTCAGGGCGTGAAGACCTTTCATACCACTGCCGCAGCGTTGCGGCTCTGGCGATCCGTCCTACCAGCATACGTCGAGCGCTGCCGCCAGTGGGAGCACCGAGACAACTGCGAGTACGCCGCGGCCCACACCGTGCCCCTGAGTATCGAGAGCGGCGAGCCGTGTCTGTGTTCCTGTGGCAACGGTGAATTTCCGCCAGATTTCATCAGTGGCGTGGCACAATGGCGTGTCATGTCCAAGTACGCCGTGCGTGCCGCGATCTCGCCTCCTTTCTGGGCCCCCAATGCGAATTTCGTATGGCGCCCTACTATCCGTGCCAGCAAGGGCGAGTGCAGGAGCTGCGGGAAGCGAGAGACGGAAGAAGGGGGTGAGTTGCTGAGTTGCGGGCGGTGCAAGGAAGTAAAGTATTGTTCTCGCGAGTGTCAGAAGAATGATTGGAAGTTGCACAAACTTGCATGCAAGAAAGAATGAAGCGTGTAGAGAGAATTCGGTGTTTTGAAACACTTGGGATGGATTCTGGAACGAACCTGCATGGCTTTTCAGGTGCCTACACTTCTCCTGTAACTTAGGATAATGGGATAAAGGACTACCAATAATACCAGGCAGTGTATATTGGTGGACATATGAACTGATGTCACTGTAGGATTTAACTTCCAACGTCATGCCCGCCTAGCAGCACTGCCTTATTAGCCCTGCTATAAGTGGATGATTTCGAGTATCGTTATATACCGCCGTAATATTGTCACGGTAGTATATATTTATATTTGGCATCGACCCAGATCCAGATGCGAACCATGTTATACAAGGTAGTGAACGTATTCAAATGTCGTACTGAAATAGTTGATGCTACTAATTCTTAGAAAGTCTCCAAAGAAGCATACTCGATAGTTTCCTTTAAGTTGTGTTAGCCCTCTCACTCATCGTACATCGCAATCGCGCCTCTAGAGGCTGCCAGTCATCATTTAACGAGCTTGATTGATTTACGTCATTTCAATGTATCCTGCCAAGTTAAACAGATTAGGTATAGGTATATAATAGGGTTCATGAATTACAGTTCCTGGTAGGTTCTTCGAACGCATGGTCTTGCCGATGTCCCGTCAAGATCTTACAGATTACTGGGGTTATGCTTGAAAGACCTTGGCAATATTTGTCCCTAGATGCCTTTGTTCTAACCTAGGAGTTTATATAGAATTACCTAATAAGTTTTATAAGTATAGATTATAATTCTCACCCATAGGCACGGCATATGAAAGCCGTCTCGTCATCTATCCCAGCCAATGTGGCCTGAAATGGAAATGGGTACCTATACCTAATCGGTAGACGGGCAATTAAGCTTTAACCTGCAGGCTGCCCGGCCCCCGCAAATGCCATTTCACAGGTGCCACGCAGGCCGAAGTCCACTAATGAAGCCCCTGGAATTGCGCCACAGTTGGGACCTACCAAGCCTGCCTTGATTTCGTGTCATTCAAAATGACCTCATGTTCAAGGTCTGGGCTGTGGCCTGACAGCGAAACACGCGGTCAAAGAGAGGCTTGCGTGGAACTGGCAGAACTGGTTGGCCAGCACATTCCACGCCATCCCAGCCACCGTCAACCAACCAAGCATCCACATGACATGTTCTAGGTAGCTCTCCCCGGTATTGATACACGAGTTCTGCACGGTAGCTGCTAGATGCCTGGGTAAATACCCGATCTGTGACATGGGATGAAGCTATTCCAAGGTAGCTATACCAAGCCAATGCCAATTTCCCTTTTACGTGGTGTGACAAGGGTTGAGATGACTGAGAGGCCGCCCTTCCTTGCTGACGAGGCAGCGAATTTACTGGAAGCGTCATAACTCCATCGTCAACCTATGGTCGTGTCCGACCTTGATGATAAATATGTGGCGGGCTGCCCCAGTAGACAGACCGCCGTCTTCCCATTCGACATATTGCCAGTCCGCCTACAACACCGTCTGTTGCCTCGGTACATTCTTACCATCCAATCAAAAGTTAAATCTTTACTACGAGCTTGGAAAAGTGAAAAGTCTCCACTGCCAAGATGATGATTTTAACGGATCTCTTCGCGATGATCTTCCGCCTGGCGGAGTTGGCGTTCGCGGCGATTGTCGCCGGCATCAACGGCGACTACCTCCACTCGGTCAAGAATACTTCCAGTTGGGACCAGGGCCGTTTCATCTATACTGAGGTAGTCGCCGGCATCGCGATCTTCTTATCCCTCATCTGGCTCTTCCCCTTTTCTGGCAGTTTCGTCCACTGGCCTATTGATATCATCATTTCCATCTGTTGGTTTGTCGCCTTCGGTCTATTGGTCAACGTAAGTCTTAAGAAAGATATACTCTGAAATCGGGGGATGAGATATTGACAGATTCATCCAGTACCTCGACGGCGCATGTGGCTATGTTTTCAACTGGAACGGTGTCTCGTTCAGCCGCTATGATGCCTGCGGAAGATGGAAGGCTGTGATCGCGTTCGCCTTCGTGTCTGCCATCTGCTGGCTCGTATCAGCGCTCATCGGAATCATCTGGGTTCGCGACCACGAGGCTCGCGCCTATCGCCGCCGGACTTGGGGCCGCTCTCGCGTCTAAGGGGCTCTTGGGATTAGGTGGTTGGTTTTAGCTCTGCAATATCACGGTGTATCGCCAACCGAGCAGCTTTATTTGACGGTCGAACCATACCACATCTTACCTTCACGATAAACACTTTTCCATCACACTACATCAAACCAATGAGTTCCAGGCCCCAATGAGGACACTATCTCATACTGGACACGATGATGACGACGAGAATAACGACAGGTCTAGGAAGGGGTTGCTTTGCTTCAGATACCATATTTATGGAGACTTATATGAGATTGAGCACGTAATGATGCTTTGATAATTGATACCCTTTTCACCCATACCCTGCTGATTTTGCTTTATCCACCGAATGTTCAGCTTGATGAAGATAGGGGAACACGGAATGTGCCTGAAGTTTGTAGGCATCCCGATTATAACTATTAGCTTGCATCCACTTAACTTAAGTATCTTACTTGATTTAAAACTATTGATAATCCCATCATATTTTTATTTATTTTTTTATTTATTTTTTAAAAAATTTTTTTTCATATCGCCACAAAGCGATAAATGATTGAGATACTACTCACTCCCTCTCCCTTCTCCCAGTCTTGTGAAATTATTATGTGCACGATATTGCTTTCACGACAAAGGATACCTGTCGCTGTATTTAAGTTTGGACTGAACACATATACAGAATACAACTATTGAGATAGTATCACGAGTATTTATTCACACATATGCCCTCCCCCGATCTTGAACATCAATGACAATCACACACATAGACAGAATACACTGGAGAAGCATATGCATCGTAGTTACTGTCATTCTCACCAGACTACAGCATTATAAGATGTTTACATATTAGATTTTCATTTAGTTCCTCGTTAATTGCTATTTATATATACTAACATTGTCATATATGAAATGATAGCAGGTTCGGTCTCAGATTTTGTCTAGTCGCAATGTGAATCAAGACAAAAAGCATAGTGGGGTTTCTTGGTCTCTGTGTAGGCACAGCCCGACTATTCAACATCAGAATTGTGAATTTTCACTTACTGTAGTCTCATTGTAGTGTTACTGACAATTGTGATTTTAAACCCAGGGGATATATACAATTAGAAATTGAGTTGTTTTCCAGCCAAGTCGCTATAGTATAGTGGTTAGTACAACACGTTGTGGTTCGTCAAAAAGACCTCAAATCCGTGTAGACGCCTGTTCGATTCTGGCTAGCGACATAATCTTACTCTAACCAGTATTTTTGGTCTTATTCCCGAGGCCATTCTCAGATTGATATGATTAATCAACCTCCGATCTACTATTTACGAACAGTGTTTCTTAATTAAATTAGATATGTAGATATAAATTGTTTATCAAGACCTTTTTCATCCAAGTTGTTCTCAGACTCGGCTACTTGTATTATAACAATCACTGTAACGGGTACCCGCGATTGTTGCGGGGTAGAGTGTGTTGTGGCTTTGGCCAGTGAAACACGTCCACCCAGGAATTCATCTCATCAGAGCTTTCTCGAGGAGACAAATATGCACTCAAAGGCAACAGTGAATCCTTCACGAACACCTTTGGCGGAATTTAGTGCGCCATGGACTACTTACTGCAGTACCTAACGTTTTCTTATGCATTAGTGACAGCCGATAAGTCCTAGCCTTTCTGCTAAAGCCACCAAGAATACCGTCAATCTGGATAGGGTAGCAGGTAGACATGTAGATAGCGCAATCTGGATGTAAGACAGGTCAAAGGTTTGCATATCAAGAATCCCTAGCCGTAAGACATCAGTGGCCCTGTGATTCACACAAGCTCGTTGACCCTTGCGATCGGGTGCAGTCAAGACAATTTACGACAACGCATCACTCAATATGTCCGGAAAACACGAGAAGAATATCCCCGAGGCATACGTAAGTTGTCCTTCTTTGAGCACTGACAGGGCTGGCTTGGCTGCTTGATTGACAGCAGCTGGGAAGTCTATGACAGCATTGGTGGGGAGCAGATGAGGCGAATGGGGTAGGTGAAGCCACAGTTTCGCCTTATAAAGTCACTAGCCACAGCCAGCTACTACGATGTACACAGCGATTTACCGGATGTCGGCAAGGTTTTGGCTACGATCGCCAAGCCCTTGGTTTGTTTTCTAATTTGCAGCACCTCGACAGCTCGAATTCTTTCAAATGCATATGTATGTGGTATGTGTGACAGTAGAGGGTGGCAAAAGTGGCTTGAGTCGTCAGCTCTGAAGACAACATTGGCTCCAGCATAGCATCGTTTGTTGCGGAAGCACCGCCACGCCATAGTCTGTACTATGACGCCAGCCACGCAGTGCACGAAATCTTTGAGTCTAGAACATAGGTAGGTATGGACCATAGTCTCGGTAGTACAGAGGTAGCTGGTTAACTAGGTACTCACATGCAGCTACCTGAAGAACCAAGATATCTATTCTTATCCTCCTCCGGAGTGGATGCACCGGTGGGTGTAACTTGAACTGAACAGGCTGACAGGTACACTCAGCCATAGGTACATCTAACGCATGTTTTGTTTTATATAGATACGCAACATAACTCGCTTAAAGAAAATGACCTTCCGTACAACTACAATGTGGTCAGGGGGCTAGGACTTTGGGCTTGTATTGGGATACTTGTTGTAAGAGTGGTGATGCGTTGCTGATTGATCGAGGAATGATGGTAGCATAGTGGGTCTTGAAACTTAAAAGAGCTGTAAAATGATTGGCTACACATGCTAGAACATCTAAAGTTACTGCTTTGACCAGCAAGCCGAACAGGGATAGGGCCATTATGGGCAGGGGTAATGACGATTGATGAAGTAAGAGGAGTCTCACGCAACACACACACAATGTAGTCTCCTAAACCAACTGCCTGCTGCCCTACGTACATACGGCCATGTGTCTTAATTGGTACCTATCTACATGTACGCAGGCAGTCATGCAGTTTGTCTGAAGTATAAACTTGTAGTAGTCTGGCCGTTAGACAAAGCGGAAGTTCCAGCCTGATCGAGATCATCAATGACGACATTGGTAAAAGGCGAGTAGGCAGGCTGGCAGGTTAGCAGGTAGGATGACGAGGGAATTTGCCTACGAAAACAATGGCAGGAACCATTGCTTGAAGATGCCGTCCTACAGGTATAAGACACTACCATCCTCATACATCTTCTCTACCATCTCTACCACTTCATCATCCAAAACCAAACTACCTGCAAATAACTTGATATTCCTATCATCAGTATTACTACGATAATCACGAACATCCAAGAACAAGTCTCAACCATTCAATATGTCTAGCATTACCCAGAAGGTCAAGGATGCCGTTTCCGGCAACCACTCCTCCTCTACCACTCACTCGACCTCTCAAGGTGTTCCCGAGGGCACACATGGCCCTCATGGCCGTGTAGGCAATGCCGCTGACCCCAGAATCGACAGTGACAGTATGTTATCCCTTCAGCCCGTTCTGAGCTTGTGGGCCGATGTTGTTAGATGGCAGCTCAACTAGCTCCCGAGACATTTTACATATAGCCAATACTAACTACGTATTGTTCTAGGAGATCACCGTGCTGCTCCAGGCTCAACAGTTGGTGGTGCTCACAACTACACCTCTAACGACAACTACACACATGGCGGCACGACCGGCACGACCGGCACGACCGGCACTACGGGCGCGCCCGGTTACGGCACCACCCATGGTACCACAGGCTATGATAACTCGAGAGCTGGCCCCCACGGAACAAATGTTGGCAACAAGCTTGACCCTACTATTGACTCTGATCGCTCGGGTGCCCGACTGGGCAATACCGCTGGCGACTATGGCGGCAGTGGCCGCGAGGGAGCTGCTGGTCCACACAACTCTCGCGTTTTGAACGCCGTTGATCCTCGTATGTAATCCTCTCATCCGTATTTACAAACTGAGTTCAGGACAATGGCTGACCTAATATCTGTAAAGGTGTTGACAGTGACCGAGACGGCAGCCGTACAGTCGGAAACACTTACGGTAGCTCTGGCACGGCCGGAACTACCGGAGCTAACGGCTCTGGTTACGGCTCGACGACCGGCGCTACTGGTACTCACGGCACTACCGGTACCCACGGTACCAGTGGACTTCACGGAGCCACTGGCACTCACGGCGCCACTGGAACTCACGGAACCACTGGTTCTCACGGACTCACTGGTACCCATGGAGCTACTGGCACTCATGGTGTCACCGGAAATCATGGTACTGCGGGAACCCATACTGGAACCCACACTGGTACTCATGGAACTCATGGTGCTACTGGTACACATGGTACTACTGGAACTCACGGCGTACACACCACTGGTGCCTATGGCAGTGGACCAGGACCAGCCCCCAACACTGCTGGCCCGCATAAGTCAGATGCCTGTGGGTACTCCCGATGATCTATCAAGTTGAGACACTCTAAAAGCTGACTTGATATGTTATAGTGAATAAACTGGATCCTCGTGTAGATTCAGATCTGGATGGTAGCAAGACGATTGGCGGTGACAAGACTTACCGGTCGTAAGTAAGCAAGTTTCCCCGCCCTTCCATTTCATCATCTCATTCTAATCTTTCGTCAGGGGTGGACATACCACCACGCGGGATCCAACCGATGCCGCCCAAGTTCCCCCTTCTACTTTGCGAAAGCATGTCGGCGAACCTACACTTGAGCATGGAGACCATGGACATCAGCGTGATCGGAGAAACAGCCTTGCGACCGCTCAGGAAACGCACAGAGGCTTGTAAGGACTAGCATGACCTAAGAGATACCTATGAAAAGGGGTAATGATTGTACACTAGATAGTTGCCTAAGAATTGACGATTTCTTCAATGGCCAATATTTTTGTTCATCAAAAGTGACATCTTACACTCCATTGCCAGTGTTGTAAGATACATTATCATTTGACGACAACGTGTAACTTCTTAGTAAGTGAAAAGTTTTCATCCGATTCTCATATATGTTTAGTTGGTATATGAATTTAAGTTGCTGCAATGCGTTCTTCACATAAGGAACGCGGATCCTAATCAATATCGAGCATCTATGTATAATAATACTTGAAAAGGCTATGAAAAACCGTCCTGCTAACTAACCAATCATCTGAGCATTATCATAACTCCATACAACCGAACCTCATTCATATACGTATCATGGTCCCAACACGGGACAAGGGCCTAATGGATCTATTTTGTATATACACCCATTATATGAGGCAGGCATTTATGCCACGGCTCAGCTTGGGGTTGCCCGACGTCAATATCTGCCCAAGGGCCTGCTTCTGCCAACGTCTTCCCCGTCTGACGGCAGAGCAGACAGCCTCCGATGAAGTGCGGCCAGAACAAATTGACGAAGCCTGTACAGCACTTAGTTAGCAATCACCCTGGAGATCTTCACCTTAAGACTGGAACACCTACGTTGATACGCCCTCATATACCAGCTATACTCGCACCTCACATGCTCATACACATACCACCGCCCCCCCTTCTTCAGGTATCCATAAAGCTCACGGATATTCCTCTCGGGCTCGGGGATACTGCACAGACACAGCACGGAAACAATACAATCCACACTCCCCTTCTCCACCCGCCCATCCCACTTCTTCCCATCCTCCAGGTCCTCCACCCCCACGGGCACAATCGTATACACGTCCGCCAACCCGGCCCCCTCGACCGCGCGCCGCAGCTTCGCGGCCGACTCCGCGTTCGGCTCGACGCCGAACACGCGCTCGACGCCCCGCCCCGCGAGGAAGCGCACCCACATCCCGGACCCCGGCCCCGTCTCGAGCACGACGCCGCCGATCCCCGGGTGCGCGGGCGCGTCGACGAGGGCGCCGGCGGACGTGCGCCCCTCGAGGAGCGCCGAGATCGTGGCGGCGCCGCCGCCGTCGTCCGCGGTCATGCGCGGGGAGACCGCGTCCCAGAACGCGCCGAACCAGGCGTCCTGCAGCTTGCGGGGCGAGAGGAGCACGTCGAGGCGGCGGGCGCGTAGGAGGGTGATGATGGTGCGGGGGAGGTAGGAGGCGGAGGTTGCGAGGAAGAGCCAGGGGTCTAGGAGGCCCCAGAGGGCGTCGGTGGTGCGGTTGAGGAGGGAGGGGGAGGAGGAGGACATGGTGGTGGTGGGAATGGGGATGGGGATGAGGATGTTGGTGGGGAAAGGGGGAAGGGGGAAGTTGCTTGGGGAGAAGAGTTTTGGGGTTTGGTGGTGCTGGGGATTAGGGTATTTATGCGAC